AAAGCTCATCAGAGACTCTACTTCCTCAGGCGGCTGAGACGAGCTGGACTGGGAAGCTCAGTCCTCACCTCCTTCTACAGGTGTGCAGTGGAGAGCATCCTGTGCTCCAGCATCAACGTGTGGCATGGAGGCTGCACAGCTGCAGAAAGAAAAGCTTTGCAGAGAGTGGTGAAGGCTGCACAGAAGATGTTGGAGTCAGCCTCCCCACCATCACAGACATCTACACCTCCAGATGCAGGAAGAGGACCACCTGCATCATGAAGGACCACACTCACCCAGCACACACTTTTTGTCCCACTCTCCTCAGGAAGAAGGTTGAGGAGCATTAAGTGTAGAACCACTAGACTGAGGAACAGCTTCTACCCTGAGGCTGTTAGACTCATGAATCTCTAACCAGAATAATCACTGTGAAGAATCACATCATGTTGCTGCTGATCTGTTTCATGTTGCTGCTGATCTGTTTCATGATGATGTGTTCATGCGTGCTCATCTGCTCACACAGACTCATGTTCATGTTCGTGCTGCTGTTCGACGTAATGTTTTTATGCTGTTAGTGATTAGTGTATTTTTAGTGGATGTTTTTCTTAGTTCATATCTTTGATGTTATTACAGTTTTTCTTTTACATTTTATTGTTGGATGTAACTGGGACCCTGTGAACATAGTTCCGCTCCACCACATGAGGTGTGAATGACAATATAGAATCTCTGACTCTGGCTCTCTGATATATATACAGTATATGTATATATAGTAGAGGTCGTTCATCTATATACATAAGACCAATTACTTTAACTAACAGTCTAGAAGGGAGCCTGTTAATCCTCCAATAAATATTTCATTTCTATAGTTTTATGTGAAATGTTAGCTTTCCTTAATTATTCTGTTTATGTCAGACTTTTTGCTGCAGCCTTCAGATGATATCTGCTTGTATTTTGATCTGAGGATGGAAATTAGCATTAAACATGTCGGTTTCCAGTTCCTGTTTGCAGCCTCAGCCTCAAGTTGGATCGCCTGTCTAGACTTTAAATCAGGCTCATTAGCCGGATATGAAGTGAGGGTCTACGCTCCTGCTCCCAATAAAGCAACTTTTTATGAACCTTCTTCTGATCCTGCCTTCTCCGAGTGTGTGGAGGAGGAAATGGATGTGGAAGTTTGTTAAAGTGTAGATTTTTGACTGTTTCTTATTAAATCGCAGTTCTAACTTCTGACGGAGCATTACTGTAAAGCTGTTGGCTTTTTATTTAAGACCCTGCTGGGAACGGGGAGGGAAGCTGGGATGTTTTGGTAGCAGCCTGGGTATTACGTTGGAGTACTCCTGCATCTCTCTGGTTCGTTCTGTGCTTGAGCATGAACTGAGCTCTGAGACCAAGAGCTAATTAACCCATCTGTACCTGCGAGCCCTGACTGCTGAGACGAGTTCTGCGAGCCCGGATACATACTGAGCTCAGGCTGCACAGGGACATCCTCCCTGCAGAGGAACTGAATGAAATAAACTGTGCAGATCAGGTTGCTGCTCTGCTGCACAGACACGAGGACAATGTGGCAACAGGTGATGATGGAGCGCAGGTCTGAGTCCCACTTATTGTCACTGGATTGATTTAGCTGTTTGGATCCCATCAATGAGGGCTAAAGACGTCTAAAAAGGCTTCTTCGTTTTTCTTACCTGCTGTCAAATGCATCTAATTAATCACATGCTCATCTTCTGTCTGGATGTCTGTACTGTTTATATATGGACTAATTGAGGTACTGGCTTTATGGCTGCATATATCAAAATATCACCATGAAAATTTAGGTTGCAACACTAAAATTCAAGATGGCCACTCCCATATATGTGTGTGTGTGTGTGTTTGTTTCAGGTGGCCTTGTAGGGACCAATTTTACACAAAATCTTGCATTGTGGTAACCAACTGCTCTTTATGGGGACCAAAGCCAGGTCCCCATAAGGACAAGTCTCGTTGGGGGGGTAGGTTTAGGACTAAGGTGTATATCGTGGACAGGGTTAGGTCTAGGGATAGGCATGTACTAGTAATGGTTAGGTTTAGGGTCAGGCTATAGAAAATGAATGGAAGTCAATGCAAAGTCCCCAAAAATACATTTAAAAGAACGTGTGTGTGTAATATATATATATATATATATATATATATATATATATATATATATATATATATACATATGTATATATATTCAACCTTTATTTATACAGGTTAGTCTCATTGCGTCATGAGGACTAATTTTCAAGAGAGACATGTATACCTGTATAACATATAACACATTCTCTATGTGTTATATGTTATACAGGTATACATGCATGTGTACATGTGTTGTTTGTTGGTAGGTGTTAATCATGTTTCTGTGATAAGTACGAGCATATGTTCTTGTTTCTTTTCCCTCACAGCAGAAAAGTAACAGTTTCTGTTACCTGGTTCTTGACACTCGGGCCTTTTTCAACACCTTTTTTAATTTTAAAGAACTCCTCCAAACGAGCTTGCAGCTCACATGGTGATTAAAACACGCTGCAGCAGAACTCAGCCTCCAGTTATCTTCCAACAAACAGGCTTCCCCTGCTGGTTCTGATCATTTCTTCATCCAACAGCTCCGTCGTCGTGTCGAGACGACGTTGCCAGAAACGTCTCGGCTCCTTTTTCCTTCACCTGGGTGACAACTCCTGCCCGCCTGTTTGATTGTCAGGAAGGAGCAACAACAAACCATGAAGACCTTCATCTGCAGCCCGGCTGCAAGGTTTTCATTCACTGGACAAACACACAGACCAAAATACTTCTCTGCAAAAATTACAAACTGTAGACGCAACCTTTTACTTTAGCTTCAAATATGATGAACTACTGACAGATCCTGGCTGAAGTGATCACATGAAATCTGTGCTTTAAACTTTGTCATCAACTATTGATAGCTGTTAGCAAAATACCTCATCAGCCACTGGATGCATCTTATTGAAAGGCTCAGACGTTACTGCAGCTGCAGCTGAATTATAGACCGTTTCATGTTTTCTGACGTCAGCTGGCTCTGCCGGTCATCTTGATGTGGGTTGGCTCCAAACCTTAGTCAGTGTAACACATGATGTCAAGTTTCATGTGGAAGTGGCTGGGAGTGATCTGAGAGTGAACCTCAACACATACCTGGAGCATGACTTCATGACATTTATAAAGTTTTTAAGGTTTGACTGAAATGGTTCCAACCGTCTTCTCTCAGAGCAGGATGATCTCAATCTGAAACTCTGGCATATTATATTAGAAACGTTTAGTTTTAGAGACATGTAATGTGTTCAGTTGCACTCTTATTTACTTCTTATTTTGTCCTCAGTAAACCATCTCGTTGCTTGTTGAAACCTTACTGAACCTAAAGAAGCAGAGCCTCGGTTTCCAGTGAAAGATGTTTATTGTGAGGGTTCCAGTTTCTGCCAGTCACTGAACTTGAAGTGAGGTCAACGTGTACCAAAACAGACATTCATCTTCATCCATCCATCCATCCATCCATCCATCCATCCATCCATCCTCTAGTTCTGGTCAGGTCTGGGGGCAGCATCTTGAGCAGGGAGGTCCAGACATCTCTCCACAGCCTTTTCCAGCTCTTCTGGGAGAACTCCAAGGTGTTCCCAGACCAACCAAGAGACATAGTCCTGGGTCTTCCCTGGGGTCTCCTCCCAGTCGGACATGCCTGAACGACCTCAACTGGCTCCTCTGGATGTGGAGGAGCAGCGGTTCTACTCTGAGTCTCTCCTGATAACTCAACTTCTCCCCCTCTCTTTAAAGGAGAGTCCAGCTCTGCAGAGGAAACTCATTTCAACCTCCTGGATCCACGATCTCATTCTTTCAGTCTCTACCAGAGTTCATGGCCAGAGGTGAGGGGAGGAACGTAGACCGACCAGTAAATAGAGAGCTTTGTTTTACAGCTCAGCTCCCTCTTCACCACAACGGACCGGCACAGTGTACTCAATACTGCCGACACTGCATCAATCCATCTGTCAGTCACACACTCTATTCTTCCGTCACTCGTGAACAAAACCCCTAAAGATAGTGTTGTGGTCAAGACCACCTAACCCGAGACCAAGACAAGTCAAGACCAGAGTGTACCGAGACCGAGACAAGACCAAGACTTTTAGGGTCCGAGACCAAGACAAGACCAAGACTTTTAAAGTCCGAGACCAAGACAAGACCAAGACCGAGGGAGGGCGAGACCAATTCGAGACCAAATCCACAAATAAAATAAAAAAATAAATAAAATGTTATTATAAAATATTTTTATAAAGTTATGAGCCTTTTTAATGTGTCAAAACTGATGATTTTACCAGACAGTAATGTTTTTACGTTTTTAAACAGTGTTGTTTGTGAAATGAATTTTGTACTGCAATGTCTTTTGTACACAACTTGTGCATGCTTACTTTAATTTATTTAAACTCTAATTTAAGTGACCCATTTTGATCCTAATAAAACAAAACTCAAGATGCATTTACCTTCTTTTGGTCTCTTGAAGTCAACATGAAATACTGGGCAGTATAAATGCAGTCTTTAGGATTAAATTGGAAACTTGAAGTCAGTTACTTTCTAAAATTGTTTAATTTTCATTTAGACTTGTGTATTTGCTTGGGGATCTTCCATTGTATGATCCAAGGCACATTAAGAAAAAAAAACACAGTATCATAAAAATCACCCAAGAAAACTTAGTAGCTTATTCATATTCATAAAGTTTCAGAGAAATAACTGCACTGCAGGCAGCCAGGAATGTGAACAAAAACTACTACAGAAAGAAAACCACGAGGCTAATCAATTTCAACGTTGCAGCTATACAAAGCAACACAAAGTTTGCCCGATGCATAACTACTTCAAAAAAATCCCACTTTGGCTGTGGCTGCATTTTGGAAGGAGTCGACGGGGGAGAGGACAGCCCCCGGAGGGCAAAACGTCAGTCTTTCCACAAAAAAAAACAAAAAAAACTGTCCAGATGATTAACTGATTATTGGAGTTTAAAGAAGTGTTTCATTGCATTTAAGAAATATGAGTGATTGCAACATTCTGTGGCCTAAACGTGCACGATGGGGTCTCATTAAAATGCCTCCTCGACTGAAAACCCTTTCCACTGGTGCAGAGGAGGCAGGGACTGATAGGACCTTCATTGCCAAATTGTGCAGTTGTGGAAATCTAGTGTGGTTTTTTGCCCAGAAGACAAGTGCATTGTCTGTGTCAAAGTCACGGATGGCATCAAAGTATTTCCTTATCTGTGTGTGTATGCTTGAATCCTGGTCTGAGCTGTGCTTTTTGTATGCCTTGTAGCGGGACAGAAGGCGAGGGTATTTGTTTGGTGGCGAATCACTGGCTGCGGCTGGATCCACATTCACAACTTCTGAGCAGGTGTCTTCTTTCATGTCCATCATCTTCTCCACCTCTAAGATCAATGTTTCTGAAAAACACAAACACAATGACTGAGTTAGATTTAAAAGGATATGCACATATCAGAGTTGAATTAAATACGTTTAGGACCTTTTATTAGGGGCCTCCGATGTGCGTCCCATCAGTGTATGAATGTGATAAAGCTCTGATTAGTCTCCTTTGAATGATTTGTTCAATTAGCTTTGTAGAGATCTAATAGAGTGCCGTATGAATGTGTAAATGAGGCACAGATTGTAATGTAAAGTGCTTTGAGTGTCTGATAAGATAGAAAGGTGCTATATAAGTACAGTCCCATTTAATATAAAAGTGAGTCAGGATTGTGTACAATAGGCATGTTACCAGCCTAAATATAAAGAATATCTGTTTCAATAGGCTCAGAGTGTACAAAATATGTTTTTATGACAAAAGTAAACAGAAGAAATGAAGACTATGAATTCCACTGTAAGACTAGTTAAGGCTTTTATAGACAACTAATTTGAAATATTTTAGGATTTATGATTTTGCAAATAAGACATTTATTTTCAGCAGAGAAAATATATACTGACCTGTCAGTGTCTTCTTAAGCTCATCTCTGAACTTTTTCACTGATGTTGAATTTCCCCCATTGGTAACATCTAAGTCCACCCAGCTTAAGCCAAACTGAGGATCCAGCATGGTGGCCAAGAAGTAAACATTGTGGTTAAAAGGTTCCTCTCTTCCACTGTCTTTGGCCATGCTTGTTTTTAAAAAGATTCCAGAAAATCTTTTCACCAGAGACTGCTGGAGGGCTCTGACCAATGACTGGCACTGCATTCGAGTGTCCTCCATCTTGAGGAGGTGTGTATTCAAGTCCAGGACAGTTGGAACCACCATACTAATGGTAACTGATTTCTCCCCTTCTGTCAGGTCTGTTACCTCAGAAAATGGAGCAAGAACTGCACTCAGTTCCTTCAGCTGGTTCCACTCACGGGCACTAAACACCAACTCCTCGTGATCCTTGCTGCACATTTCATTCAGGGCTTTGTGGTCCAGAGCTGTGAAGGCCTGTACTTGTTTAAATATACTGTTCCATCGAGTTGTGTTTGCAGCTGGAATGGTCCTATTAGTGCCAAACGTAGCCTCAAACTTGTCTTTGAATTGTGAACTGCTATGCAATAAGGTGGTGAACCGTGATGTTTTGGCTATTGTGTGAGAAATGGCCTTGACCTCCTTCATGCCGTCATTCACAACTAATTGTAGAGAGTGTGCAAAGCAGGAAAGACGTGCACCAGATGACCAGGGTAATTCGGTGTCTTCCTGAGAATTAATGTCCTCCCACAGGTGCTCGTCATCTAAATGCTCCTCTTCACTCTCGCTGTCATCAGATTGGGGCATGTGTACTTTGAAAGCACATTTCATATTGGCAGCATTGTCTGTTATGATATAGCTAATTTTGTCATGATACCGTATTCCTCTGTGATCTCCTCAAAGGCAGACGCAATGTGCTCTCCAGTATGTCTGCCTGTGAAACGCCTACAGTCCAGCAGGTAGGATTCAAGTGCATAGGAATCCTTTGATTTGTAGCACACGTGGGCGGTCACCCCAAGGAAGGAGCGTAGCCTGCGATCAGACCAGAGGTCAGTTGTTAATGACACAGATGACTAGGTCTTCAGTTTCTCCAAAACAGTTTCCTTGACCTTGATTACCAACTCTGGAATTTGTCTATCAGAAACCGTTTTTCTAGAGATTGGTGTGTATTTACTATCCATAACTTCAAGAAAGTGTTTAAAATGACTGTTTTCCACAAGTGAGAGAGGCAGACAACACCCAATGATCAAATCTTGGACAACGGCTTGACTGATGGCTTGTTGCCTTGGTGATTGTGGGCTGTAGAGCTGCACTTTCTGCGTAAATAATGAAATTGATGGCTGTGTGACTGTGACATCATTCTGTTGCCCTGCCTTGTATTCCAGGAACCTAAAAAATGCAAAGGAGGAATCAGTATATCTGGTCATGAACATCAATTACATCAAAAGAACACTTAAAAATAAGTAGCAACTTCATAAATGTATGTCAAATATATCCTCCATTGTTTATCATAAGCAAAAATTAAACTTAGAAAAATCTAACAAAGTTAAATTGGGTCCTCTGGATGGGTTTAAACAATAAAAAATTATACAAATGTTTTGTCTTTCATCCAAAAGACTTCTTCAATATGAGGAGCTATATTAAACTCAAGAGCTACATTTTCAGGCCAAGACTCTGCGGTCTACACTCATCTCCAGGCCAGCGGTCACTCTTTCAGGGATGAAGATGTTCACATCCTTGATAGAGAGGAACGATGGTTTGAGAGAGGAGTAAAGGAGGCCATCTTTGTGAAAAGAAACCATCCATCTTTAAACAGAGGTGGAGGCCTCCAGGTTCAACTGTCCCCCTCTTACAATGCTGTGATTGCTAGTATCACTCAGCCTCCGGTGAAGGCAAGCAGCCATCAGGGTACTAACAATCCATCATTAGGCTGATGGTCCTCCTTGAACATGTGAGCAGCTAGTTTCATCAACAACAAACGGTTGGTCCACTGTGAGGAGGCACTATTTATAGGGCTGAGCTGAATGCAGCTCCTCAGCCTGAGGAAGTCTTTCGGACGAAAGACGAAATGTTTCTACCTTTTATTTTTACTTTTTTAACACGCCCAGAGGACCTGATTTAACTTTTTAAGATTTTTCTACCTGTGTGATGGAGCATGCATCAGGACATATTAAACACAGTTAGCACCTTCTCACAGTGGATCAACCAGTTTGCCAAATATGTTAAGGGAGACCATAAGCCTAACAATGAATCGTTGGCACCCTGATGGTTGCTTGCTATTCACAGGGGGCTGAGTGATACTAGCAATATCAGCGATGTAAGAAGAAGACAGTCCCTCTTACAATGAAGTCTTTTGTTAAGAAGTCAAGTAGTCTTTTGGATGAAAGATGAAACGTTTCTACATTTTGTTACCACATGCCCTGTCCCCTCAGTCTCTCAAAGTTAACAGTGAATTTGTCCTTATGCATGCTCAATAACCCAGGTAGAAAAATTTAAAAAAGTTAAATCAGGTCCTCTGGGAGTGTTAAAAGAAAAAAAGGCAGAAAAAAGCTGTGCAGATAATATTCTACTTTTTTTCTTTTAACACACACTCAGAGGACCTGATTTAACTGTATGTAAACAGTGAATTAGCTTACTTCCCTTAATATGTTAATTATATCAGTGTTATAAAGTAAAACTCATTTAAGGGCTAAACAAAGCGGGTCTGAGTCTGACACACATTAATTAATTTAGATGTATTTAGATTTAATGTCGATGAATTACTTTTTCAAATTTTTGTCCCTTATTTTAGTATTTGTGATGCATGCTTTGGTATTTGTTGTTGTTATTTTTTTGTTTGTTTTTGGCGAGTCAAGACAGTTTTTCTCGTCCTAAGCAATTCACTGCATTGTTGTCGACCTTGTGTTGATTTTGCATATGACAAATAAACCATACTTGATAAAACGTTCTGTTTGTATTGTTCTTGGAAGAGAGGCAGATTGATAACGTTAACTAGCTAGCTTTACTAGCATCACTTACACAAAGCTGCGGCGCTTACCTTTCTTTGTGCTTCCTTTCCAGGTGTCGATAAAAGTTGGATGTTGGATACTCTTTGTGACTCAAATAGCCAAACTTTATAACAGCAGATTTAGAAGACATCTTCTCTTGTTCTAAACACAAACAAGTCTAACTTTTCTTCCCTGACGCTTGCGAGTGAAAGGAGGTGGGCTCGGTGTTGCCAGATAGAGTCGAGATTTTCCAGCAAAAAATCGGTTAAAAACCGCAACATCACACAAAAACCTGCACAATCTATATTTGTTACAGTATATTTACTTTTTGAACACAAACCCACATCAGTACAAGCCAAGGTAATTTAACAATATGTGGCAAAACGGAACAGTCCAACAAAAATCTTCCCAGAGTTCCCAGCAAAATCAGAACGAAAACTGGCCAATTGGCAGTAAACCACCCAATCTGGCAACACTGGAGTGGTAACAAAAACATGTAGCTAGCTGCTATGAGTCACGTTATCGCTTGAATTTGAATCGGTATGTTTTGCATCCAGTAAAAGCAAAGATGTTAACAAATAAACTGGACAATATTCTGGCAATTTAGTGATATTTTCACAGTTGTGGTCTTGACTGGTCTTGAAAAAAAATCCCGAGACCTCAATGTCCGAGACCGTGACAAGACCGAGACCAAATGCGGTCGAGACCGAGACGAGACCGAGACCGTCAAAAAGTGGTCTCGAGACCGGTCTCGAGACCAAGACCGGTCTCGAGTACTACAACACTACCTAAAGATAATTATTTTTCTTTAGTTGAGATAAAGTCTAACCTAAATTCTTTGTCTTGATTTGTCAACCACCCGCTGTGAAGCCTACCTTCTTGTACGTCGAGTACCTCTTGTGTTGGTTCTTCTGCGTGTCGGCGTCCATCACCTGGAAGAACTCAGCCTCATCCTTTGGATCTGACAGAGAGGTTTGGACACTGGTTCACCTGCTCTCTGATGGAAGACTCACCTTTAGAGAAACTTCTTGTGAGACCTTGGATATACTGGGAACTTCCACGCTTGAAAAGGCTACATCGTCACAGTAAGCATCAATATTCTCAACTAATGAAAAGCAAAAATTTAGAAAAAGGACATTTTTAAGATTAATGCACTAATACAAATCATATTTGTTGAAACGACTGAGGTCTTGACGTCACATCTCATCACTGACCTGAAAGGTGACTAACCTCAGTCACGGTTCATTCTGGGAAGGATGCATCACAATTTTTACTCCCAAACATCAGTCCGCGTCTTATTTAAAGTCATTTTTATTGTAAAAGCTGCAACAGAACCCACAAGCAGCCAAACAGAGAAAGTGTTGGGACAGCAGATTTCCTCACTAAACTGCCTTTGATTTACCAAAAAAAAGACACAATGTTTATTCATAATCCACTGGAAGGGTGGCACTCGGGTAAAGTGAAGAATTAAATTACGCTCGAGTAAACGACACCTCGGGGGTTGAAAACGACACGTGTCTGCTGAGGATCCAGATAAAGTCTGAGCAGAAACTATAAAATCATTTAAACTAACAGAGGCTCCCTCACTGAAGTCAATGTGTTCTTATTTCTCTCCTTTAATGCTAAAGACAAACCTGGATTTTTCCACATTCACCTTTTTGACGAGTTTAATTTAATTCATGTTCTTGATTTGTCCTCCTGAGTAAAATGTGCAATTTGGACAAGTTATAAAATATTAATTAATGTTTAAATAAACTAACAAAAAAGGTTGAATCATGTCATCTGGACTTCGTTTTTTTGTTAAAAAGAAACGTTTCGCCCCTCATCCAAGAGGCTTCG